CCCCCCCCCCCCGCCCCATCCCGTGTCAATGGGGGGAAACTGAGGTTTTCAGATTGTGCACATGCAAATCATCCTGGACTCTCTTTTCTCCCTCCTTGGTTCAACCACTACATAGAGCGGGGACTGGATGCCACGACGAGGGCGGTGGGCGAGGGGTTTCCGACCTGATTTGAACATTTCGAGTACGCGCTCATCTGGAAATACTCAAGGGGTAATCTGAAGTTTCCTTTGTGTTGGATGGTGTCATTTCACATGTGCACGCTCACAAAAGCACAGCATACGGTATATCAACAAAAGTACAGCATATAATGACAAAAGTACAGCATATAATAGCAAAACTACAGCTTATAATGACAAAATGACAAAAGTACCGCATATAATGACAAAAGTGCCACATGCATTTATATAACGACAAAATATAAAGTACAGCATATATAATGACAAAAGTACCTCAAATAATGACACAGGTTCAGCATATAATGACTAAAGTACCACATATAATGAAAAAAGTACGACATATATTGACAAAATATAGATTACAGCATATATAATGGTAAAAGTACCTCAAATAATGACACAGGTTCAGCAAATAACGACTAAAGTACCACATATAAAGACAAAATTACGACATATAATAACAAAATATAAAGTACGCATATAAAATGACAGATCTAGAGTTACCTCATATGAGGGAGGCACCGAACATAATGAAATAAACACCACAACTACAAGTAACGAAATAACATATGATAACACAGTTATCGCGCTCCGTATGCATCTTTACCTGCTTCTTTTTGATATTGACGATAGGAACAAAAACACTAACGAATCACCTCGATGAAATACCCATAACAAAGGTAAAACAATACGAGAATGCTGACAGGATAGAATTAACAAGGAATTGAAATAACGACTTTGAGACCCAGGAAAATAGGACTTTAGGGGATTAAAATCCAAAACACTTCTAGCGGGGTATGAAGCTAGAAGCTTGCACCTTCGGCACTCATTTGTTCGGAAATCGGTCACCGTTAATCCCTGAGGTTCGCGCCTGGAAACTTTGAAAGAGTCGTAGACAGAAAGGGATGCAAATTGATTTTTGCAAGTGGGGTGAATCGGTGTTGGAGTCCAACTGCTTGCTGCCATTGGCGGAGATGTTAATTGTATCGGAATAATGTACTTTATTTCAGACTGAAGTTTACCTAACAAAAAGAGTCTTCAGTGGTCATGGTGACTCGTAGCGAAACCAAGAATTCGTCAGTTTTGCTAATAATCGCGATCTATCCTCCTGTTATGCAGATTGGACTTAATAAATAGACTTTGTTTATGAACGACTTCACCGTAAACACTTGGTGAAAAAAGAAATAATAACAGTAAGTGGAAAACTCATGCTAAATCATTCGTCTATCGTGAATGATTGCCGCAAGTGGTGATTATGTGATTTTGCTATTACTTAAAAAATCATTAATTTTAACCTCGATTTCCTGAAAAGGGAAGCAGCTGGTTCACGAAGATTCAATCCCATAGGAAACACAATCAGTCCGTACTCAGGTCGTGTTAATTCTTTTTTTTTCGAAGCTACCTCCTTCAATATGAGCGGTTGGTACTGGATGACCGGATGGCTGCCTTCTCTACTAGCTGTTGTTGGAAATGGTCTTGTTATTTGCTTGATTCTCGCAAGCCGCAAACTTCGAACCACTAACAATAGATTTGTCCTGTCTCTTGCTATCGCTGACTTTGGTGTTGGGATATCCTTCTATCCGGGACACGCCATATGCCACTTTGTACTCACTTCATGCAATGAGATGATCAGAGACGATATCGCAGTGTTGATGATTTACTCTTCAGTCTGTAATCTTTGCGCCATGGTTCTCGATCGCTATATCGCCATTGTCAGACCTCTACACTACATGTCCTTGATGACAGCTAAGAAAGCTATAATCCTGACCACCGTAGCGTGGTTGATTCCGTTGTCAACTTACTTCATTCCCTCCGTTTGCGCCAGCGTGGGTTTAATTCGCTTAGACGTACGAGTGAGTGTAATCGTATGGACAACCGTGTTCGAATTTGTCCCCTGTGTTGGATTATTCCTGGCTACAACACATGCCGTTAGAACATCCCGAAAGCACTGTCGCCGCGACGCATGGCTTAGTTCGCAAAAACGTTTTAACCCTCGACCAACATCGAAACTTCGCCGATCGACTTTCTCTGCCTCGGTGATAGCAGCTGTAGTCGCAATCTTTCTAATTTGCTACGCGGTGGAGGTTTATAGTTCATTTTGCTATTTTACTGCCTTGTGCGTCATGCACGAAAGCCTGTACAATGTAGTGTGCTTTCTTGTAATTGTTAATTCTGCTGCTAATCCTGTCGCTTACTCGTTGTTGAAGAGAGATATAAGGAGAGAGCTCGACAGAATATTCTGCAATCATTCTTTTAATAAAAGGAGGCTAAAACGCAGTTGCGCTGAAAGAACAACCACTGTATAACAGTTTCTCCTTAGCAAGAGGCGAGCAGTGGGCATTATTTGTAGTTGGTTTCTTCACTTTGTGAACTTGTTATCTGACAGCCTAAAATAAGTATGAGTTCTGGAAAAAATTTAAAGCCTATTTTATGGACATACCCAAGGAAAACGCACAGACTCATATATAAACGGGGGGATGATAGATGGATTGAGCAATACAACAATGCGTTGCGTGTGTGATAAACGGCCGTCTTGTATAAAGATTTCTTGCAAGGGATGAATAACAATCATCTTTATTAGAAAAAAAAATGATCAAGAGACACTCAGAATGCGCTTTGGAAACTGTGGTTCATGTTATATATTGCTGCAAACTGTTTTGGACATAAATAGCTGAATTCAGTATATTAAATCTCCTAATGACGTAAGTACTGTAGCTGGAATCATAGAAAGTATTCTTAAAAGTTTGAAACGCGTGCTTCTCGTTATGTAGATGGCAAACATGGAATTGCATTCCGCGAAATGAAATTTTTAAACAGCAGTAAATTTTATTGAGTTTTGCCTCCAACTCAAAAAGATGAAAAGAACTCTCAAGATCCAAACGACAGGTTGACATGTGTTGAATTAATTGTAATGTCATGATCAATTAGCAAGACATGGTCAGTTAGACCTCCTTTTCGTCACCACTCATTTATTGTAGAACCCGAGGGAAAAAAAATGAATAAATAATTTCACAAAACTGGTGTAAATTCGGTTTCGTTTGTTTCCTTTTTAATGACGAAGAAAGCGTTAATGACAATTTTGTTTCAGTTTTTTTCCCCAGTCAGATAGAGTTTATTAATGCAGATTTGAAGAGATTATATCTCTAGATTTAAAGTTAACCTTTGTTATACTAAGAAACATCGATTCGCTTTTCCTCCCTCTTACATAAACTTAATTATTATTTAAACATCCGGAAACGTTTTGACAATGCCACTGGCATGGGATGAAAGAGTGTTGATGAATCAGGTTGAAATAAATGAATAGGCTGGTTTTTTTTCTTACAAACTAGTTGAAGTTGTCTTCATTATTCTCTTATCTCCATATCAGGTTTCAATTTCTATTCTTAATTTCTACATCCTACCTGTTCAAAGCTAAAAGCTAAAAATTAATTGCACTTGAAGTACGTCAAATGTATTACAGCAAATAGCGTAAAAAAAGACTTTTAATGTTGCAACATACGATCATTTAAATTAAAATCGTGGAAAACTTGCAAAGGTGATGGATGGCGGGATGAAGGTGTCACTAACTAATTAACGACTCTTTTAGTTTGGTTCCCCTGAGTGCTCAACCCTCTTTAATTCAGAAATTAAATTGGGTACATTTGATGAATGTTTTCCGTTCTAGACCATCTGCCTATTCATAACAATTGTTAGATGAAAATTCGCGGATCGTTTAAAGGTTTTTCGTAGGTTTTTAAATCAGTAGTAATTCATCCGGCCGATTGCCTTTCTTTTTATTTTTCTATTGCTGTTCCCGAGTACTTTATTCGTTTAAGTCTTTCTTAATTTTAGTTTTCTTTTACTTTAATTTGCAAAACATCTCCCCAACGAACGTTCTTTTATAACTGATAGACCCCTTAATCGGTTGACGAGCTGAGGACGGAAGCATCAGGCTTATGTTATCGTAACTGGTCACCATTCCTTGTTTTATTACCATTCATAACCCGAGGATCATTTACTTTAATACGATCGGATCATGTACCTATCAACCCTAGATTTTTAAAACGTCATGTATTTAAAAAATCTGTTCGTCAGCTGAGGCAGCGTTGACATAATTGAATTACAGTCAGGCATGGCGTCTTCACGACGAACGCATGATCCACACTGACTTGTCTGGCGTTGGAAGAATTTTATTTTCGTTTACAAAGCTATTCTCTCTATCGTTCGGGGAGGGATCTAAAGTAGAGCTGACAGAGCTGTTATTTATTAAATTCTCAAGAAAGGAAATAATTAAAAGCTATTAACTATTAGCTAATATTCCTGGTCCGGATGAAGTTACAAGAGGCACTTTATAATATCATACTCACTGAGAGCTCACGCAGAGCGTAGTTTCGAGCTTTTCTTCAAGTCCCGGCCCGTTTCAAATGGCAGAAATCAATTTCAAATTGTTGTTTAGTGTTCTAGAGTGGAATGCTGTTATCATAAAACGTTGATCAGTCTGACAAAGGCAAGTGTCGGCTTTAGCTCGCAGATTATGTTCGCATAAACGACTCAATTATTCGACACGAATCGTGTGTCAGATTAGATTTACACTCAGCTATGAATTCATTAGCAAACTGCCTTTAGCGTACTGCCAATCGAAGTAATTAAGTAAGTGTTCATCATACAGTCCTTCAATGGCTATCACAAGTCAAAAAATTAGGACGGCGGATTAATCACACGACGAATCTAGTAAAAATGCAATTATCGTCTTTTTTATCTCACGTACACGTGTACTGTACATGTATGTTTAAAAAAACAGGCTTTTGTAAAAATTATTACTTTTATTATGACTGTGAAAATATACTTTCATCAGTTATGATTGGCTGAGAGCAGGCAAATGTGTCGTTACTTTTTAATTTCCAGTGCAGAGAAATTTATGGCGCGTTCGTCATATTATCAGTCATATAGTTTATGAATTATCTTATAAAAGCACGAGCAATTAACGATTTTACACCGTGAGAATTTTCGCATTTCACTGGTGGTATAGATCTTTAATTGCACTCGTATTCATACGATTACCCAAATAGTAACTAATTCCCACCGGGGCCCTTACTCCCAATTACTCCGGGTAAATGAGGCGACTCCGTTTACTCCGGAGGTGAAACAACCTCGTTCCCAGGCTCTCTCTTCTCTGCCCCGCTTGGTCTTTCCAACGGCCAAGGGAGGTAGGGAAATTAGGGTGCTTGTTCGTGCGCGCTCCGGCGAGAATAAGACCCGGGGGGTGCTCCCTTATATGGGCTATATAGGAGTGTGCGGCCCCAAAGGGTATCGTATTTCAGCCTTTTTGGTCAGAAATAGGGTATGGCCACTACTCTTGAATTTGGTATGTTTTTTAGAAGAAGCTACTTTTCCGCCATCATTATCGATAAGACCATAAACAAAAGCTCTTCAAAAATTACGTTTGGGGCAACTCTGTCAGCCGCAACAATCATAAATAGGGTATCGAATTTTTGGTCTGGTCATAAAGAGGGTAAGGAAAGTCGCAGATTTTGGTCATAAATAGGGTAAGGATTGCCACACAGCTCCACCAAATTTTTCTGGGAGTACACCCCGCGGAATAAGACGGAAAATGACAGAATGCGCGATATTTCGGTTTAGACAACCTTGTTGTTATTTCACTGAAATAGGGGATTTTTCCAGGAATAGTTTGATAATACTTGCTAGGATTTTCTGCCAAGATATCGCTGCCACGGAATACTATTTGACGGTAATACAAGAAATCTAACCAGAGTAATGAGAACAAAAAAGCTGAAAATAACTGAACTGAACTGAGATATTTATTGCATAGTACTAGAACACGGTTAAAGTCGTCACAGTAATTACTTTAAACAAATAAATCATGAAAAATACGCTTAATCACCCCAAAATGGAAATAGCCGCCGAAAATAAGACAGATGTATTATCCGTCTACCGGGCCAAGGTAAATACGGCCATTTATCAGATTTCCAAAATATTATAATTAAGGCTCTTTGGATGCTTGCGGTTTCTGCCGATTGTTCAGGATCAGTAGAACCGAATTTTCAAGTTCTTGATTAAAATTTAGTCTTTCTGATCTCGCTAAAACTTGGTTCACAATCAAAATCAAAATTCGCGTCAGGTCGCCTGACAATTCATTAAGCAAGATAGAAACAAAGTTTATGTCATAAGCATGTGATATACTACAAATACAATTTGCAGTAACAGTCAAAGTGAGGAACAATTAATTGATGGGTGGTTTTCCACCCTGCTCACAAAAAGCCTTAATTCGTCGTAAAGACGCTTTCGACACTGTAAAATAATAAGAAACTTCAAGGAGACAACTTAGGTGAGTGGTGGCTCTATACAGTTTTTTTTGGCGCGCGAGGCATGGGTGCGAATCGCGCGAGCGCGCGAGTATTTAAAAGAAAAGTAAAAAACAAAAATAAACATGGCGGCGAGACTTTTATCGCGAGCCGCGTTCCACTTACCGCTATCCTTTTTGACCAGAACAAGTGTTCATCAAAAGACGCCTAGAAATGAGTTTAAAAATACACTTCTTTCGTGTTCTCCGGACGTGGTTAAACTGAGAAGCCAATTCGCAGCACTTATCGCGCCGACTTCAGAGAGAGAAGACGGTCGTGATCGTACGCGAAGTGAAGTCACAGAGTGGTCACGGTGTACTTTTTATGGTCGGAGGCTTCGCTTTGAGTTCCCTGGGCGGTGAAACACCGAAAACAGCTGAAGAGTCTGCAAAGGCGCAACTGATACCGGAAACAAAACCACCATTGCGTGACGAGAAGGGTGGGTTCTCAAGAAAGAAACCCGCTCGAAGTGGAAACACGGACGACAGGACTCGTGGGATAAAGGAGTGGAGGGCAAAGAGGAAATTGGAGTTTCAAAAATATCTGGAACTTATTTTGGCTATCTAGGCGACTGATTATCTGAACTGATCAAGCAAACATTAAAAAAGCACTTTTTCTAATACTTTAACTTCTAAAATGGCTAAAAAATCACGAGATAAGTATATATTTTTCGACACTCGCGTTCATAGCTTTATGTCACGCACCGCCATATCAAACTCTGAAATTCAAAAATGTGCCTGGAAACAAGCTATTGAGCTGAAAAGTTGTTAACAGATATTAATTTACCGCCTCTTATGCCTGATGAAGATAATGAGTTTGGTGGCTCTTTAGTTTCGGATTTTATAGAACAGAAAAAATGATGACTTTACGTGAATACCAAAGAACATGTCATCACGCTCACATGCTGGGCTACACGACCAACGTAAGGCAGAGGAGAGAGAGTCTGGGAATGAAGTTGCGGTTGCCTTGGAACCTGTGCCAAACTGTACGTGCGCAGTGTGGGATGTCTGTGACTCCTCAGACAAATCCAGCTGAGTAAGGGTTTTTCTTATCGACTCAATAGTTTGCATGCTTTATGGAGTGTTACATGTATTTTGCGAAATATCAATGCTTTTCAAAGCATATGTGGAGTTTTAATACCTTTTAAGCGGATTTGGTGGTCAGTGAAGTCGGCTGAAAGAGAACTGAAGTCGGCTGAGGTACTTAACTTGTTCAAACCGCGAAATTCACGCCTGACGGGCTGACTCAGCATAACTNGATTTGGTGGTCAGTGAAGTCGGCTGAAAGAGAACTGAAGTCGGCTGAGGTACTTAACTTGTTCAAACCGCGAAATTCACGCCTGACGGGCTGACTCAGCATAACTTATTTAGAATGCTGATAGACTTTTTAGTCGCTACGGTAAGCTTAATAATTTTTGGTAACAATTTAGGGCTAAACGTCAGAATACCCGGCCACTTAATATGTGTTTTCAGCGTAAGAAATAAGAAGAAGTAACCTTACAAGCTTGTAACTTTTTTCATTTTATTAACTCGCGATTCTGTTGTGCCAGACGTCTGAAACGTCTGACTTATCTTCAGCATAGTAACGTAGCAGGAGATCTCTCCAAACTCATTTAAGCTTGTCTAAGGAGATCATCCCTTCCATTCACAGTTAATTCAACATTGACATAGGACAATATAGTGTTTGAAACTAAATTTTGACAGCACTTGCCTNCCCCCCCAAAAAAAAAAACAATCCCCACAATAATTTTCAGACCATATGTTTATGTGGCCACCGGCCTCGAAGAGCCATAGCCACTGGTGTCATCATCTTTGAAAGTAATGTCCGTAACCCTAATCTTTGGATAGTTTTTGTAGCCCATCTGTGTAACCTTATTCTTTCGACAGTTTTCATAGCCAACCAGACTGCATTCATATACGCATAATCCTTGGATAGTGTTCATGGCCAATCAGTGCATCGACAGTCCCAGTCAGCCAATGGGTCATGAACTTGTTACTTTTCAAAACAATATCCTGCCAAAATTGATGAACTGATCAATCTTTTGTGTTTGGAGTCAAACATTTAAGTGCTCCCAAATTCAAGACTTTTATTTGGTATACAACAAAGGTGGGTTTATAATTCAATCTATCGACCACTTTGACAGCAGCTTTTAACCAAAACTACCATGCTTGGGAGGCATTTTTCTTCCTTTGAATGTTTCAAGTTTCCATACTGTCTCATTTTCTTTTATAATTACTTTGCTTTATGGCTTGAACATTTTTATTTTCCAGCACCTATATAAACGCAAATCACCTGCTAGGTAGTACAGTAACTCTAAGGGAAAAAAATAAGCTCAAACGAAATACAAAGAGTCCCGCAACAGGATTCTAACTGCCGACCTCAACCTGTCTACTGGTTATCCTCTGACAGCAACCTTACCACTTTGCCAACGTACAGTGTAACACTTAGAAATTATTCATGTCGTGAAACATAGATCTATAGATTCATTGCAGTTTAAGGTATAAACTGCTGGTTGATTGCAGACCCACAGCATGGTAAAATAATTTGCATAGTGAGCTTACAGAGAGAGATTACGGATTGAAATCATGGGAAATCACTCAGTTTACTACCCAAAGGACTTGCTTTACTGGCCAATTGTTGAATCCATTCATGGAAATTTTTTTCAATTCCGGACGGGTTTTTAATTCTTTTTCACTCTCCACTGAGATCAGGGGATCACTTGGTGCATACCGGCCCCTAAAAGTCACCTGACAAAGCACATGGTTTGCAGTTCTAAAACCATTTTAAGTGATCTGCTATATTGGTCAGTTTGGGACCTGCTCTTGTGTGAGTAATTTCAATCCTGTGATTCTTAGTATAATTTTGTTTTAGTGCAATGAAGGAATGAAGATATTTGTAATAACTTAGTTCCAGAACCATCAATATCAGAATAGCCTAGTAAGTTGACTTGCTAGGGTAATTTGAAAGGCAACCAGACGTAAAATAAAATGTGGATTTTGTCTTATGTAATAGAAATTAAGTTGATTATTGATACATGTAGTTGTTTAACTCTGAAATACTGTGTACATGTACATGTACACAAGACATTCAGTTTTTTGTTGCAACTCATTTCTTTATCAGTAGCAACAATCAGAACAGCTCAAGTGTTCTACTGCACCTAAATAAGCATAATGATTATTTGTAAATGTATGTTAGTTGCAAAATTTATGCCGTGTCACAAACATACAAACTTCTCAAAATCTTTTTGATCTGATTCAAATATCATGAGTTGCCTTGAAACCATTTTGAGTTCAGCTAATTATCAAAGGTAGCCACTTGCAGTCCTGGACTGCCTGTTTTTTATGTATCTTTTAATCACGGACATTTCTTTTTCAGCTTTCTTGTTCTGGTCTGATTTAGGAGACGCCTCTCAAGGACCGCAAACTGATTAGAACTACTGTTTTATCCTCATTTTTATCATCAACTTTTGACACTCCATAGAAATATTTCCACATTTCCATACTTTTAACTGAAAAACAGCTATGTGTGTAAACGAATACATGCATGTACACTGTAGCTGGTACTACCAAATTCGCATTTCACCCTAGAATCGAGACATTAATGTAAACACTGAACTTGTTGGAATGTACATGATCTAATTTTTCCTTCAATGAAAAATTTTACTTCAAGACGTCACCTTAAACCCAAACATAACTACAGTGGAGGCACCTTAATTTTCAAAACAGTTTCTATTGATGATTCTTCATGAGATGCCTTTCTTAGCAAGCAAACATCCTTGTTCCTCTTGTGTGCCATCTTGCACTTAGTAGTTACTGCCAGCTCAACTAGAGACCAGCAGGATCACTTCATAGTCTTGTAAATCATCACTGCCAGGAAGCCATATTTCATTTGTACTGTATTATTGTCAAATTACTTGGGCATCTCCAAACTTAAAGATTAAAAAAAGTGAAAAAAAAAAAAGCAGTGGTAAGTTTTTGCTTAGAGATATTCTTGCCAAAATGGAAAATATAAAGGAATGTCATCAATATTAATTTATGGTTAAATATTTTCCCAAAAATAAAAATCAAACTGGCCAAATACTGTACATGTAGGTGAGTGATTGATGATTTAATTACTCACCCGATGCTTTTCACATTCGCATGGGCAAGCGGGCGAGTGCTTATTTCTTAAACACTGATAATAATTATATACAAGTCATGTGGTAGCTAGTCTTGCTATTTATTCAGCAAAACAGCTTAAATGTAGGTGAAACTTATTTGTTTGCATCTCAGACCTTCCCTGTTGGGTTCGCTCCTCAGGTACACAGGGTGATTTTTTAACCCCTCTTCACACCCAACCAAACACCCCAGGTATGAAGTGTTTGACCTTATCAAGTGTGATCTCATGATAGTACTAAGTGCAAGTGTTACTTTCAGGGAGCCAAAGTTAAAAGGTATTGTTAATTTTTTTCAGGCTGTTTTAGTGGCCCTGGGAAATTGTAATCCTTGTGCCAACAAAGATGACATTAAGCTGTACGACAAGAATAATCCATCTAACCTAGTTTGCTGGCCGTTTCCAAAGTGCAATGATGGACAGGAAGCATCTGTAAAACCAGGGTCATTGCACCCTCAGGGGACAAAAATCGAATGTATGGATTGCCTTGAAGATTACTTCTCAAACAATCACACCAATAAAAGATGTCGCAGGTGTACATCATGTGGCGACAACAAAGAACTTTCACCTTGTGAACGCTCCAGAGACCGACAGTGCTCTCATAGTTGCATTTCAAGTGAATTTTACTTTAATGTCACAGATCAGCAGTGTTATCCATGCACTGAATGCTGTGGAGCCAGTGATGAGGACATTGAACACCAATGCGTATCCATGAGAAGAGGCACAGTCATTGGAGGAAATGGGGAGAAGCATTGCAAGGCATCTTTTAAATCATCACAGCAATGCAGCAATGAATTGCCACTAAAGAAAAATGTTTCATCTCCTGCCTGTGGTAACAGCTCAATAACAAGCAATTCTAGTTTTGAGACAAGGGAGTGCAGTTGTGGTAACAGCTCTTTACCAAGCAAGCTTAATTTGGAGGAGAAGGTCTGCAGATGGTCAATTGACAGTCTCCATATTGCACTGATCTGTGTCCTGGGTCTACTAGTGCTTGTGATAGCTTTTTGGGTGAGTTGCCGCTGGTATACTTCTAGAAATACCAGTATGCAGCCATCAAGGAGAAGATATGCGATGCCACGTTGTGTACATGTACCAACTTGTGCAGGTAATATCATATAGATCTAACACTATTGCATTTAATACATTTTACAGACAGTATAATTATTCAGGGCTTGAGACTAACAGTACCCAACTGGGGATCAGGTTCACAAAAGCAAAGAAAACAGTGAATGAAACTGGAATGATAATGAAGGAAATGGCAAATTGTTCCCAGTATCTCTCATGTACAGTGTATTTAATTCAAGTACTCCAATTGATGCCAACAGTTTTGAGAGGAGTGACTCTTCAATCTTTAATCTTTAATCTTTATTTCTTTCACAAACTTATACACTGCACATCTAGTTTGTGATTACGGAAATACATGTAGCTGAGCTACAAAAACAAAAATATACTTACCGGTACTGCACAAAGTTTAGGAACTTTAAAAAAACTTCTAATGAGCAATCTGACTCCTACAGGTGTATGGTCAAGTTTTTCATTAACTTAAAGGCTGTGGTCTAAGGAAAATTACAAAGAACCCAAAGGTTCCTAACTATGAAATCCTGGGTGCCCAGCACTTAATTGCCTGTGGCACCTGGGCACTTCATGAAGTGCACAGCCCTGAACTTACTTACTGTCCCCTTTGTACCATGTGGCAGATTTAAGGGCGACAACTGACTGCAAATTTTTCAAAGGCAGATTTCTTGCAAAATAGAACCAAATGGATAACATTGTACATTTTGTAGCTTGCACATATGCCAAAATTGAGAAACCCTCCCTTTAAATGAGCCTTAATGTTCTATAACAAATTATGTGGTCAATTTGTTAACATAAAGTTTTTTCCTTGCCTGTATGTTTATGACAGGTCAATTGTGTGATGTAGAGATGGCTTCTCTTATACCCTGCAAAGATAAACTTAGGCTCATCCCAGAGGGTTAGTATTTATTTACTTTAAAAAATGCCAAGTAAAATTTCTAGGTTGAATATTCTTCACAAGTACTAAGCATCCCCTCTGTTTAGAGTTTAAGCCTGGTCTTGTCCTCACAAAGACGGTGGCCTCACGGTTAGTGCGCTTGTTTCCTGATTGAGTGGTCAGGGTTGAAGCCCTGGCCGGCATTGTGCTCTAGAGCAAGACACTTTACTCTCACAGTGCCTCTCTCCACCCAGGTGTATAAATGGGCACCAGCAAACTTTATCCCAGGGCTAAACCTGCAGTAGACTAGCATCCCATCCAGAAGGGTGTAGAAATGCTCCTCAGTATTCGCTTCATGTTACGGAAACGGGGATAAGCTCCAGCCTGATGGGCCACTTGGCTCATATGCAGACTTTACCTTGTCCTCAGGCAATTTCAATTCAGTTTTTGGAGACAAAATCATTTACTATTGAAAAAGTTATTGTAATGACTGCCTACAGTGTACATTGTAGTCTTGTGCCACCCAGTAGCCTATTTGTGGCTACTTGAAATACACCCTGGGCTAATAGGTTACAATGAAAGTCAAAATTAAAAAAGCAGTGAATCAAAGAGAAATGAATGAGACAAAAATGATATATCGCTAAAATTTGCAATATATTAACTCTTGTTAATTAAAACACTACAGGATTTTAGCCAATGGGGTTTGAGATATGGACTGCTGAAGGCATTTATTGGGGCATCTTTCCCCCGAAAATTTTTAAAATTGAGGTCCTCAGAAATGGGATTTCTGGCATTCTGAGGCCAAGTCAGCATGTTACATATTATACAATATCTCACTTTTTTTTAATTTAAGGAGTAGCCCCTTACCCTTAGATCTGCCCCCAGCCTCTGCACTTTAAAGGTTTTTTTTTAAAAAATCCTTCCCTTGGGGTAAGGGTGCATGTAAGAACATACATGTAGTTACTGGTGGAAAAGAATGTTTATTACAATTTGACAAGTTATTTTTTCTGTGCTTCTGTTTCTAGAAATGAAAATTAATAACACCTTGCCTTATGATGTTGAAGAGATTCTCATTCAAAAGTTAGATGTAAATCGACGTTGTGTAAAAAACTGGTGGGATGTTGGTCGCAAGCTTGAAATGTCTGATTCAGAGCTGCGAAATGTGAAGCTGGAAGAAAACCGAGAAGGTGGAAGTCCGACCAGATGTTTACTTGGAATTTTAAACACATGGGAGAACATCATTTCTCTTAGAAAGTTTATAGAGATTACACATGAGTTAAAACGGCACGACATTTGCAGTGCCATTTACGAATTTTACCAAAGTCAAGACACTGCAGTTACGGCACTATCTATCACAGGATAGATAGTGAGTAGCGTAGCCAATCAGAGAACGACATTCGTGATAGAACGCTAGTAGATTTATACTAATGCATCATATTACATACATGTAACTTTTTGCGCCAGCGGGACAGCTTCTTAAACGAGGCTGTGTGGCGTGAAAGGTATTTTACATGAACGCCAATTTATTTGAAAGCAGCATGTCTTCCTTTTGGAATTGTTCGACGTAGCGGACGTTTTGATAAAATCACTCTGATTCGGAAAAAATGAATATTGCTGGACGATTTCTGTGCTGGTTCATGGTCACTGGGATTAGTGTTGCTTCCTTCAAATAGAGTGCCCATAATGATGGAAATTACGTTCAATTTGCTTCCAGCTCAAGGAGGGACCATGAGTCACATGCCAAAACAAGCAAGGAGCAAAAAAGTGACTGTAAAACAGTCTTCCCCTTGTTTCCTCTTCAATATCGATAAGTGGTGCACAAACAGGCTGGCTTGTTAAGGACACTGGCACATCTCCTCAGTCTTGCATGTAATTACCAGCTTGGCGAACTTGTGCTAAAATACAGATTGTTTTTAGTAGGAAAAAAAAAACACAAACAAAAAAAATATATATAAAATTAAGTTTCAAAAGTAAAAAAAAAAAAAAAATTTAAACGAGAAAAAGAAAAAGAAAAATTGTAACTAGTGAGGGAGAAAATCTTGGTGTTGCTTAAGTACTGTAAGTGGTTAGTGAAAGCTTGGTTTAACATAGAATCCAAAAGAAAAACTCTCCCCCCAAACAAACAAACAAAAAACCTCCACATATTCAGCTTTACCTGTGGAGTTGGCGGGATACCCTGGTATGTTTATTAGGTTTGGCATGTTTCTAACGAGTTGGAGGTATGAATCATCTCCAGTGTAGGATGTGTGCATTTTTGGAGTCAAACTGTCCATTGGATTGATTAATATAGACTTGACCAGTGTGGAATAGATTCACAGTCCATCACTTCATAAAGCTAAGACTAAAAAAAAGCCTCATGCTTGTCATAAATTGTACTATAGTTACGCTTTCTATCAGACTTCTTACTTGTTTTGTTGTAACTACGGCTCGTGTAAATGTTATTAGGGGTGGACCATTATATTTTTGAGGGCAGGGGGTGGCTAACTACCAAGAAAAATTCCTGCGCAAACTAAAGTGACAAAAAAAAATTGTGCGAAGAGAACCAAGAAAAAGAAGCATGGAACAAATGGAAGAAAATCCTGCGATACCTGACGCAGAAATATATATATACATTGCTCAGAAAAATTGCCCACCCGATATAGTGGTCCATCCCTTATAGAGCATAAGAAAGCAACTTGCATTGTATCAGTATTGAGTGTATCTCATATTGGGAGTAATAATGTTTGCACCGTGTGCCGAATTTTGGTTAAAATAGAACACAACACCAGCTCGAAATAAAGTGAACCGGTTGTTGGAATTGCTTATCTTGGTTCCACCCTGGGCCCCTTTGTTCAACAGGTTCAATTTACGGTTTCAAAAAACTGCTGTCGCAAACTAAGGCTACAATAATATTTTGGACAAAACTTATTCCTGCAAACCTAGCTTACGCGCTTTAAACTCGAAGAAAAATTTAGCTGTCAAAAATGAAAATGTAGAAGCATTCACATTTGTACCCAGGCAACATTGATTACAGAGGAGGAAGAGGAAAATAATCCGAAAGAGTGTGTCGACTGTTCGTCCAAGATTACAGCATTGGAGTATAGGAGCGAAGACACGGAGGACGTCAAAGTGGATACTTTGTTAGGGGAAAACTTAGTGTATATCATTCAATGACAGGAAGAGATGCGATCTTGCAATTCGATCAATGTCATTGTTAAAAGATAGACTCCCGCATGTGATGCACCTGTGTTGTAAAACAAGATGTCTTAAAGACACTGATAAACTATTAATAGCTAGTAACAAAGAAACCTAGATTCTATGGTTTTAAAACAAATGTAATTAGGTTGGGCATCTCATTACAGGCCGTATTTCGAGCAGGTGAAGGTATGAAAGTTCGATACCTATCTTACAAATGGACCGATCTGGATAAAACCTACACAGGTAGCATGCAAAAGGCCAGCTAAATAGCTCCAACACGAACAAAGATTTTAGCTTTTCTAGATCTGGAAGGCTTTTAATTATGTAATGAGATTTTAAGCCTGCAGTTAATTTTCAGTGTAGTAGGTTCTTATAAGCGTCGGTTGGTATATTTCTTTTGGAGTCGTCCGTAGTCGCTGACAGTTTAAAGAAGGCTCTCGTGCAATACTGCTCTCGGCGACGCTTCCTCGCGTTTGGCCTGGGCGTAGGAGGGAGAGAGGAAGAGAACTTTATGTAACGAAAATAGGGAACTTTTGTAACCCGCGTATTATCGCACCATAGGTTATATGTAGAATGAGTAAAATACAGTATATGTCGTTTTGGGCTCGACACTAGCTGATATATAGCGAGCTGCGTAGACTTTGATTATGACCCACATATCGGGATATATAGGATTGATTCCGAATAGCGTAGACGATATTTGCGAGTTCTAGGGACTTGAAACTAAGTTGCAAGAACCTTGATCTTAAGTTAAATAGACAGGCTAAAGATTATCGTACGCGTTGGTCATGTGCATAGTGAATAAAACATAGGCCGTTTTAGTCTTTGAGGAGTTTGACACCAGCTGACACAGACCGAGCTGAGCAGAGTTTGATTTTGACCTTTATAGGGTGATTCTGAATAGCGTAGACGGTATTTTCGAGTTCTAAGGACTTGAAACTAAATTGTAAAAACCTTGTTCTTAAGTTAAATAGACAGGCTAAAGATTATCGCACGAGTAAAATGTGGGTTGTTTTAGCCTCAGAGGGGCTCGACACCAGCTGATACCGAGCTGCGCAAACTTTGATTTTGACCTACATAGGCTTGATTCGAAATAACCTAGACCATAATTTCGATTTCTAAGGACTTGAAACTTAACTGCATGGACCCTGTCCTTAACGTAAATCGACAGGGCAACGAATATCGCTCGCGTTTGTTAAGTGCATAGTGAGTCAAACATAGGTCGTTTTAGACTTAGAGGGACTCGACATTAGCGGACACCGACCTGCCCAAACTTTAATTTTGAGCTAAATAGGCTGGATGTCGAAAAGTGTAAACGATATTTTCGAGTTCTAGGGACTTGAAACTAAATTGCAAAGACCTTTTCTGTAACTTAAATGGACAGGCTAAAGATTATTGCACGCGCTGGTTATGAGTATAGTCAATAACGTATTGGTCGTTTTGGACTTAGAGGGGCCCGACACTAGCTGACACCGAGTTGCGGAGACTTTGATTTTGACCAACACAGGATTGATTCAGAGTGGCGTAGACGTCGATATTTTCGAGTTCAAGGGACTTTAAAAACTCTTTAAAAAAACTCAGACAAAACCACTTTAATTGGTAATGTGTATTCGTCCCACTGATGTAAACTGCAAGTGTTCGATCGGTTAAGTTACTGCACATCAGAAATAAGTTCATGCTTATAGGCCAATAAATAAATTGGCCACTGATTACGGCTTCCAAATGAATAAGCTGATTTATAAGCTCAGCTTTATTCCGAAATGCACACAAAGAAAATCAACTAGATATAAGTTCTTAAATTCAGTGTGCGTTTGTCGTACTGAGAGTCATGATCACTCAGGAGGAAGAGGGCGTGGTGAGGGAAATTGAGTGGTACGAAGTGTGTGAATAAGAGAGGGAGTGGGTGGGGTGTAAGAGGGGGGGTGGTCCTTTTGACCAGGGGAACTTGAAGTGCGTCAATAATGGTGGATTCTCTCTAGTCAGTCAAAACTAACTTGTATTTATTTTAGTACAAGCCCACTATATTGACCTTATTATAAATATAAAGCCTCTAAAAAATAAGATAATTCTGTAGTTTTTATCGGGTTGTAATGCTAACCGCACACATCAATTAAGAATCGAAGTTCTTAAGTAAAAATAGATTTAAAAAAATCACACTTGGTTATTTTAAAATATTAAGAGCACTCGTAGAAAACTAAATCTACCGGAGAAGTTCCTGTAATCTCCTTTTCACACCTTAAAGCGAGACCTCGTTATCTCATTATGCTTTGAAATCGGGAATTCATAATAGTAGTGATGACGATGATGATGATACTGCTACTGCTGCTGCTGCTGCTACTGCTGCTGATGATTGTGATGATTGAAAATATTTATACAGGGTAACCACCTCAGTTGTAAAACGGATGTCAATGTGGGCCCTAAAAACTTCCGGATATATACACAAGAAAAAGAAATGTGGTACATTCGTTATAGGACCTAACCCCCATACACTACCTTATATTACCACGATAATTTGGACGAAAAAACTAAGTGTAAGTTTATATAGAACACACAGATTGGTATATTTCAGTACGCCACGAGGATGTGCGTAAATTCATTTTCTCCCTGAAAAAGGAGAGTATCATTTTGGTTTTCGAAATAAGCTAAAATCAGACACTGTTTAACTGGACATTTTAAATGTTTTTTTTTTTCTATTTTCTTTTTTACAATCCTACGGTAAGAACATTTGGTTTAAATGCAGATTTAGACAGAGGATTTAACTCACAAAAATATTACTTCTGCTGCTTATGTTTGCATGCTGCGATCAGTGTGCGCTGCATGCGACAAACTTGTACCGTCTAGATCCGCTTTAACAACACTCGATAAAGTATTCATATCGCCCTACAAAGTGTCTTCCTTATCAATCATGTCATCTTCTTGTATGTAAGCGTGTCTTCGGCTCAGTTGTTGGTCTTGAGTGGTGTAAAGATCTCCAACCTTGTTCCTGTTCATAAATCGTCGGGCAATGCGGTACTTGACAAATAAAACGGCTAGGGCTATGATTGCAATCAGACCAAATCCTCCAGCGGCTGCCACGCCACCAATGAGTGCTCCGGTTTGTTTGTTTTGATCGGTATCTACGATAGCAATTTCAAGAAACAAGCGGTATAACTTGTCACACAAGGTCACATAGATTGTTGTATATTTAGAGTTACTTAGTTAGAACCAGTCTTTAAAGGACTGTGTTATGGCCGGGGGAAAGGGCCCACGGTAAGAGGGGGCTCAACTTTTAATAGACCACATTCGTATTCTCGGTATTGGACTGGAACTAGCTTGCAATGGAGGCTCATGCGGGGGAATATCATTAAAAAGAGATAAATGTTCATTTGCAGTTGATAAGACTCCCCGCATTAGCCTCAGTTGCAAGCTAGTCCCAGTCCATTAATGGCCTATTCGAATAGGCGAGTCTTTAATGACGTCATTGTTTACATTTTTCCTCATTAGTATACGACTCGACTCATAGGAGGCGTGGCCGTATATATGAACTAAATACAAAAGTTGATAAAGCTGATTAAGCTGAGGAATTTGTGCAATTTTCAGCTCTTTGCAAGCAAAATTGAAGGAAATATCAGCCATAAAAAACTGCAAAATTGCTGTGTGGCAAAAAGGTTAATAAGCCATACATTTCTCTGTAAAATTTCGCGTTTTTAGAAGAGAATTTCTCCGAAACCGTTCCGTGTATGGTGCTCAAAGTTTCAGAGGTAACTGAAACTGTTATGCCCTTTCAATATTCAGAGTTTTTCTTTCATTAGCGTCATCAGATAGTGATAACAAATGTTAATGAGGCAAAATGTGTAAATAAAGATCCACCTATAGAATGTGTCCAGTACTAATTATTTGATACATTACGCGTGTAAATTCCCCATATCTACAGCCAGATAGCACTTATTGGTTTACAAACGCCCATATGGCATAAATGGTGTACATTAAATTAATAAGTGACATCAAGGTACTGGAACATTTCCTTTAGCTTTAACGTACCTACTGACATACCCTGTGCAATAAAACACATATTTAACTTACCTCCCGATTGTTGTTCTTCTTTCTTGAACACCAGCGGACCTTGTGTCAAAATGACCTTGTTTGTACTTTCTTCATGCTCTACTTCATCGCGTGTCACATCCCTTTTCTTTCTTTTGTTAGCGATTGAGCATCCCTGGCCACACCTATGTGAATTGTTGGATGTCTGATTTAGCTACTGGACGCCTTTTAGTTAGAGAGGGCTGCGAGAGAACACCCTACTAGTTTCAAAGACCCCCTATATCTAGGTTGGAGACGTGGC